CGCGGTCGGGGGCTGCTGACCGACGGCCGCGCGGCCCGGGCACTGCTGACTCCCCTGTATTCTTCACGCAGCAACGCAAACTATTTAAGACGAAGTTTACATTGTAGTTATTTTCAGATCTTTGCTTGATAAGTATTAAGAATTATGGGACTTGCCGCCATAATTTAAAGCTTTGTTGATGTTGTGGGGTTGTGTTGGGACTCTGTTAATTTTTTATTTCGGGCAGTGTGTTTGTGATGGAATGTGGAGCCCGAGGCTTCCTGTGCGGGGCGCGGACCGTTGTCGAAAGCCTCGAGCGGCCACGCATGTCTCTGCTTGTATCGTTCTCGCGTGATCGTTCCGTCCACGGACAATAAACGCTGTTATCAAAGAGAACGCCGGCTGCGTGTGGCTGTGTCCAGAGCCCCGCGCACCCCGCGAGCCCCGCGCACCAGCCGTGGCATCTTAGCCACGCACGTTGCTAGGCAGAGGCAACGGTCAGAGGCTTCCCTGGTGGCCGAGGGATGTCCAGCCCCAGCCCGCGGAGACCCCAGGGCGCCGCTGCGCCCTCCCTGCTCCTCGCTGCCCCCTCGGCAGTGGGCTTCCGCGGAACCCCGTCCTGCTGCCCGCTCTGTCTCTGCGGACACCCTCACACCCCCACACCTCTGGCCTGGACCCCAGCTCTTCTACGCATAAATACATTTTTTAAAAAAGTGACTTCAAACAACTCGTTCTGGAGTTTGCAAACACACAAAGACGCAGCGGACACCCCAGCAGGCCCCGTACACCGCCGCCCGTGTCCACAATCACCCAGACCGCCTTCATCCCCTCAAACAGCTTTAAAGTAGCTTGAAGACCCCGGGGTGGGGCAGCGAGGTGGCCAGAGGCCACCAGACACCATTACTGCCTACGGGGCTGGAGGCAGCCAATGGCCACTGGGCTCCCGGGCCAAGGCGCCCGTGGACAAGCAGACTAAATGGAGAGGTGGCGCCAGGGGGGAGGGGAGGGTGGAGGAGGGGAGGGCAAGGCCGCTGGGCGGCTGGGCTGCTCGGGGGACAGGGCAGCTGAGGTGGCGCTCTGTCATCCTGCCCCCCAAGAGCTCACGGGGTCATCTTCATCAGGGTGACTTGCCGCGACCGTCGATGTTGCAGACACTGAAGTTCAGGTGTGAGGGGGGCCCTCTCGAGCCTCGGGGTCATGTGTGAGCTGACCCGCCTGGGGCTGGAATCTCTGAACCCCTGAGCGCCAGTAGCAGATTTTCTCCTTCAAGGAGCAGCTCAGCTATGGGGGCATCAGGGACCCCCAACATGACCGCGCACTCACTCAGCAGCCCCTAGGAGGGCTGGGTCCAGGCCAGGATGCACAGGAGACAGATGCAAGCCAGAGCCTGCAGGTGCGGGCGCCACGTTAGGGCTGGGCATTGGGGAAAGGGCGGGTGCCAGCGGGCGCTGCCGCGGACGTCCCTCGGGAACGAAGGCCAAGGTTTGTTTGCAGCCCCATCACCAAGCTGCACCTGCTCGCCAGATCCAAACTGGCCAAGACCCCCCGACCCCCCACCCCGGAGCGCCAGGACCCCACCAGGCACCGTCACTCCCGCTCCTGGTGGCACAAAAGTCCAGACCCCTCCCAGAGGCAGGCAGGCACCAGCCTGGGCAGACGGCACCCGCCCAAGGGCACCCACAGGCCCCTCCCGACATCCAGACCCCCAGGCTCGCAGGCGGCGCAGGCCCTGTTCCGGTCAGCCCCGCGCGGGGAGCTTGCTCCAGTCACAGCCGAAAGCCCACGAGGGACCAGGCGCCCGTGGGGCCCCCGCCCTGCACCCCAGGCAGCCCAGCGGCCCCGCGGCCCGAGGCACCGGCGTGGACTTTCAGACTGGGCGCTCCGGGACGTGCCTTCCTGTCACCGAGTCCCGGGGCCAGAGTCAGAGGCTGGACCTGGGGGCTCCGCACCAGCCGCCTGTGAAGGGTGAGTTCCGGGGGGTGGGGAGCAGGCACCTGAGGACCCGCCCGGAAAGTTCCGGGTCAGCCGGTGGGGCGCCCACCACACCCTCGGGGGCGCTGGCCTGTGGATGGTCTTAGGGGGGACGCGGGCGGGGCCGCGGCCGGCGCAAGGCCAGTTGGCTAGCTGCTGGCCCGACCACCACCTCGTCCCAGGAGAGCGAGCCCTGTGGGCCACTTCCACGGGCCCTCGAGGCCGGAGCTGCCCGCCCCAGGGCTCTGGCCGCTGCCCGCTGCGTGCACCTTCGCGCTCACGCCCCCTGCGGCTGTCCTCGTTCGTCTTCAGGGTTTCTCTAGCTTCCTCTTTTAGGATTCAGAGGTGTTTTAAACAGTTCTTTTAAACTCTTTTTCTTTTCTCTCTTTAAAAAAAATTTACAATAGTTTATTTTTACATATTTTTGTGCATTTTTCTATCCTGCACAATCCCCATGGGCTTCCCACCACCAAATCACCCGTGTGCCAACACCATAGTTCTGTGCACTCCCCCATTTTTTACCCCCTCCCCCACTCCACCCCTATAAAATGTCTCTGGTATAGAGCTGTTCATTATTACTACCTTTCCCCCGGTCCTTTACGCTCCTGCTGAGTGAAACCATCGGTATTTTTTTCTTTCTGGCTTATTTCACGAAGCATGACCCCTTCCAGCTCCATCCATGCTGCTGCAAAAGGGTGAGTTTTATCTTTTTGACGGCAGAGTAATATTCCATTGTGTCTATGTACCACATCTTTCTACTCCAGGCATCCACTTTTGGGCACTTGGGCTGTTTCCATGTCTTTCCGATTGTAAATAAGGCAGCAATAAACATGGGGGTGCAGGTGTCTTTTTGAATCTGTTTTTGTGTCCTTTGGGTAGATGCCAAGGGTGGGATTGCTGGGTCGTAGGGAAGCTCCATGTTTAGCAGTTTGAGGAACCCCAAATATAAACTGTCCTTTTCTTAATGGCTGATTTATTTATACACACAGAAGTGGGGTGCAGGCTAGAGGTGCAGCACTAGGGTTTATTCAGTTGTCCCACCCCCAGTTCCGCTTTCTTCTAGGCTGGGCTCCAGCACACCTCACAGAGCACCTCCCAGGCACCAGGCCCAGCACAGAGGAAGGGACCCGGCGTGGCGCTGGGGGTTGCGGACCACCGTGGGGGAGGGAACCCAGGAGGACTTCCTGGAGGGTGGTGTCCAACGAGGGAACCCAGGACTTCTTGGAGGGTGGTGTCCGAGGCTTGAGGGCCCCAGGCTAGCTCTGCTGAGAGCCTTAGGGCGGGAGTGGCTGGGGTGGAGGGAAGCAGGTGGAGCAGTCAGGCCAGCAGAGGCCTCGGTGGTGGAGGGTCCCCATCCCATCTGCTCCTGAGGCCAGGGAGGAGTTTCAGACAGATGTGCGAAGTGCTCATGGGCCCCGGTCATGTGGCTCTGCCTGGCAGTGACGGGGCCACTGGGGCTCTGCTCGGGCAACTGGAGGCGGAACGAGCAGCCCGCTGGTTGACAGCTGAGAGCCCAAGGTGCTGGACGGGCGGGCGGGATGCCTGGGCCCAGCCTTTAAAATGCGGGGGGGGGGGGGGGGGCGGGGGCGCCGCCCATGCTCGGTAAGGGGGGGGGGGGGGGGGTGCAGGTGTGTGCTGGGGTGGACTTGCTACCACCTGCATCTCAGCTCCTGGGCGGCCCAGCCCGCCTGCTCTGGCCACTAACGCCCCCAGGGGCCAACCCTCCAGGGAAACGGATGACCAGCAGGGCAGGGCCGGCCTGCGCTCCAGCACCGCAGCCCAGTGGGCAGCCAGGCAGCCCAGGGGAGAGTGGGGCGCGGCTGTTTCTGGGCACAGGGACCCCGCGGACCTTTGGGGAACTGCTCGGGAGGCATTTCTGGACCCAGAGTTGCAAAGATGTTGGGGAGAGAAGCCTCTGCCCACCTTTGGAATCTGCCAGCACCCGGCAGCTGTGTCAGCCGTAGCAGCCGTCCTCGGGGCAGGTGCTCTCAAGGGCAACAAGTCAGTGTGCCCGCTGGCCGCTGCCTGCTCCCTGCTCTTCAAATCTCAGCCCACCCACTGAGAGGTTGCCCCGGGTCTTAACTGGCCTTTCCCTGGTGCCCTCCCAGAGGAGCCCCTTGGGGACGACTGATAGGCCCGAGTGCACCCACTGCAGGCTCCCGAGGCGGACAGGGCCAAAGGCTCCCTGCCAGGGCTCAGGTTGCATCCTCTACCTCTGGGGGTGTGGGGGGGCGGTCTGCCGGGCTGCAGGGCGGTGGGTGCGGGGCCTGGGCACCGTCCTGTCTCACAAGCCGCAGAGCTCCGCAGGCCTTTCGGGATCCACAGGACACTGGCCTCAACTGGCTGTGGCAGAAGCTGCCCCTTCCTTGGGGCAGGCCTGGGACAACCCACCTCTGGTCACTGGCCAGGCAAGAGCCTCACCCCTCCCCTGCCCACTCCCAGTCACTCACTGATACACCTGTCAGGCCTGGATCAGCGAGGAAGGGCTGAGTCACGTGTTGGGGTGCGAGTGGCCTCAGGCCAGGGACACCTCTTCATCTACAGCCCCGGTGAGGGGGCTCACAGCCAGGCCCGAGCCGGACGCCCCAACACAGGCCCCAAGTACTGGCAGATGCCGGCCCTCTCCACCCGGCCGGCGACGCGGCCCGCCTGGGTGCAGGCGCCCGACCTGCTGCTCCCGACTTTGGGGCGAGTCGTTTACCGCCGGGTCTCCCAGCGAAGATGCCAGAGCGGACTCGGGGTCGGGCCTCCGCGCGAGCTCCCCGCCGGCAGGGAGGAAAGCGGAGGGGGGCGCCGGGAGGTGTGAGGCTGCCGGAGGCCCCGGGGTCCGCGGGTCGGGCGCCAGCACTCCGCGCACCCCTTGGGCCCCCGGAGCC